AGCTGTTAGCTAGACTGCCATCTGACAGGGGTCTGGAAGTTTCTGGTCAGGACTCCGCTTCCTCTCAGAGACCCAGGGTGCAGAGTCTCCTGACAGGCTCGGTGTGGCTGAGGTCAGAGGAGCAGGGCCAAATGAGGCATCCGGAGGTTCAGCTGAGGGCAGGGAGGGAGACCCTGCCCCGCTGCCTTCCCTGGACTCAGAGTCTCCGTCGGGCCCTGTGCCACGCGGGGCCGCTCTCCAGACCCTCTGCCTCTCTGCCTCGTGGTGTTAGGGGCGTCCAGCGGGAGCTGGCCTGTGTGGGATGTGGTCTGCTTGCAGTGCAGGGGATTGTGAGTTGAGGGGACTGTCAGCGTCACACGAGGCTGGCGGGGAGCCCCTGGGGGAGGTCTGGGCGCCGTGTGTCCTCGGCGTTAGGGCTGGCACTGTGCCTCCCTCCCAAAAGCTCCGTTGCAGTCCTGACCCCCAACACCTCAGAGCGTGACCCCGTGTGGAAACAAGGTCCTTGCAGATGTAACGCAGATGAAGCCGTGTTGAGGTCAGCTGAGCCTCTAATCCTGTGTGACTGTGTCCTAGGAAGTCGGCCAAGTGGAGGCAGACACACAAGAGATGAGGAAGGCAGAGTTTGGAGCCCTGCAGCTGCTGGCCCGGGGACCCCAAAGCTGCCAGCAGTCCCCAGAGGCGGGAAGGGGCCAGGGCGGGTTTCCCTGCAGCTTTGGAGCGAGGTTGGCCTTGCCAGCACCCAGACTTCAGACTTTTGAAAACTTCATGGCTCCTGACTGTGAACAATGCGTTTCTGTAGTTTTCAACACCACTCAGTCTGTGGTCCTTTGTTTCTGCGGCAGCAAGAAATGAATGCACTGGGGTTGCGACGGTTCTTTCACGTACATCCCGCCCTGGAACAGGGCATGTTCTTGTGACTCAGGGTAGCTCATGTCCTCCCAGTACCTGGTGGGGAGGTGTCGGTGTGATGCAGACATCGAGCTGTTTTCCTGCTTCAGCGATGCTTCTTACCTTCAAGGAACAGGGTGTGACCACTGAGGACCCTGGAAGTGTTCCCTGCATCTGTGTCTGCCTTCACACCCGCTGCCCCCCGCCCCACTGTGGCTCCTACTTCTTGCTGCTTTTGGCCATGTGCTCTTTCTCGAAATTGGTTATTGCGTGGTTTTCTCCATCTTTATGTGTTCTGTCCCCTGTTCCATGACTCAGAAGCTTCAGTTCTTCCTTTTAACCTCTCTCATCAAAACGTTGCCACCTTTTATAAAACTCCACCTTTGCTGGACATTTTACTTATTAGCAATTTTACATGTCTTTTTAAAAACTGATGATTTTAAAACTAGAGTTAGTATTGATTTTGTAGTATCCTAGTTATTAAATTGCAGTTTTTGATAGTCTGCTCCAACCTTTTTTTTTTTTTAATAAACCTTGGTATTTTTGTTTACAAGTTTTGGAGTGTGCATTTTTCCCAGAGTGCATTATTGTATTATAGCAGAAGCTTCTTAAGACAGAAGGAGCTTATATAGATAATAACTGTATTGTAGCAATTCTTCTGTGTCCCATTCTGTCTGCATTTGGGTTGTCTCAGCCCCTCAGCCCTGTGCTAGCTGAGAGCCTGCTGATGGACGCTGAGCACTTATCTTGGGTTCTGTGTATATCAGCTGCCAGAGGGGTGGCTCTGAGAAGCGTTTTAGCTACTGTTGCAGTGGCCAGAGAAGGGGTAGGATCAGAGGTACACAGTCTTTGGGCAAAACTCAGATCTAGACCACAGTTATGTTCATTTGAGGATAAACAAACAGAAGTAAATCCCTACCACGGAGTCTCAGCCAGAAGGTATTCTGGCTTGTGGTGGAAAGGGAACTCTCCTGAAAGGCAGAAGAGAACAGTCAGTCATCAGAATCAGAAAAAAAGGAGTTTCAGAAGGCTGTGGCCAGAAATACACGCAGAGCAGAGATCGTGAGGAGGGACTCACTCAGCTGAGAGGAGAAAGTAACAGAGTGAGTCATAAAGGAGATGGCTGAAGACATGAGCTTAAGGTTTGGTTAAAATCTGTATGCAAAGCCATCGGAATGAAGTGGAGACCTTGGGACCTAGCAGCAGTGACATGGAGACCACTCGGGCCGAGGCACTTGGGATGCAGAGTAAACCACGAGGCAGTGTGCTAAGAGGAGCTGGATACGACGGGCTTCTGGCTCCAGCCAGATGGTGTGGGGAGCTCTGAAGACGCCAAAACATATGTAGCAAAGCAGTCACCAAAACGTGATCAAAGAGCATTTTCCTGAGCAGAAGAGAAGACCGGTGTGTACCAAAAGGTTCATGTTTGGAGCAGGATAAATGAAAAGAGATTCTTACCATACATCTCCTGACAGTGTTTTTGAATTTCAAGATTAAAGTAACAACAAAATCCTGGCAGAACGCAGACAGAAGAAAGCATCAGAAATCAGCCCCCAGAGGTTTCCTGGAAAGGAAGTGCTACCTGGCTGGTCAGAGGTTTTCTGTGTCTGCCGGCAGGATGGCGGCTAAGGCCTTGAGGGAGAAAGCGTTGTGATGCCAGACTTTTATACCCAGCCAGGTTGTGACTTTCGGGTGGAGGATTCAGAGCCATCTGAGAGTTGATGTTGTTCAGTTGCTAAGTTGTGTCCAGCCGTTTGTGACCCCATGGGCTGCATCATGCCAAGCTTCCTTGTCCTTCACTATCTCCAGGAATTTGCTCAAATTCATTTTCATTGAGTCGATAATGCCATCCAACCATCTCATCCTCTGTCTCTCCCTTCTCCTTTTGCCTTCAGTCTTTCCCAGCATCAGGGTCTTTTCCAATGAGTTGCTATTTTGCATCAGGTGGCTGAAGTATTGGAGTTTCAGCTTCATCATCAGTCCTTCCAATGAATATTCAGGATTGATTGCCTTTAGGATTGACTGCTTTGATCTCCTTGCAGTCTGGGATTTGTAAGAACTCTTACAAATATACCACCTACATTGCTTTCAGCACTGCAATGCTTCTTTCTGGTCAAGAGATGAATAAAAATTCTGTTTATTTTTAAAGTTTTACTGAAGTGCAGTTAATTTACAATGGGTGAATTTCTGCTGTACATCAGAGTGACTCAGTTACACATAGACATGTTTCCTTTCATATTCTTTTCCATCCTGATTTGTCAGGGTGTTGAACATAGTTCCCTGTGCTACACAGTAGGACCTTGTTTCCTTTCTGTATATATTAATGATGGTTGGCATCCACTCATCCAGAACTCCCAGTTCATCCCTCCCTCACGCCTCCTTCCCCAGTTGGCAACCACAAGCCTGTTCTCTTTGTGAGTCTTTTTGTTTTGCAGATATATTTGTTTGTGTCTTATTTTAGATTATGTAAGTGATATTAGATGGTATTTGTCTTGTTCTTCCTGTCTTAACTTTACTTGGTATAATAATCTATAGGTTCATCCATGTTACTGCAAGTGGCATTATTTTACTTTATTGTTTTTACGGCTGAGTAATATTCTGTTGTATATGTGTACTATATCTTCATCTATTCAAGAGAATAATAAAAACTCTGAACGTGAGATAAGTCATTGTGTTTCCTATGGAAGTAACCATGTACAGAACAATAATCGCAAAGATGCTGGTCCGTTGTCGGTGATGTGTTACTGGGTACCATCTAAGCAGACACCTTTTGAGATTTAGTTCTTTACATGATAAATAGGTTAGAGGTCTTTGGTTATAAGCAATAGGGGTGGAAATCCTTGAACAGTTTAATCAAGAACAGGAATTTGTCACACTGTTAAAGGGGCAGATAATAAGCCTTAGAGGAACCCTGACCAGGGTCAGTATGAGGATTTTCATAGTAACTGTGTTCTCAGTTTATGTCTATATTCCAGTTGTAACACATGCTCATCACAGCAAGGGATTTAGAGAGTCCTAGGTGATGCCGTGGCTCAGAGGCAGACGCTCGGCAGTGGGTGTTCGTGCCCCCGTTTCTATGGGTTCCTCTGTTACTGACTGTGATCTGGGGAAGAGGCTGGACTTGGGAGGAGGATTGGTGTCTGTCAGGTGTCACCCTCCAGGGGTTTGGGGACAGGGCCTGTGATCTGACGGCCAGGGCTGTCAGAGCTGCCCGTGGTGGGGGAGGAGGCAGGGGGCTCCCAGCACAGCCTCAGAGCACTGTTCCCAAGAGCGGATCCTGACGCTGGGGAGTTCCCGGCTGTCATGCTGGCAGAGAGGGCAGGGTGCCCAACTGTGGAGCCGGCAGTCTGTGCAGGGAAAGGTGACGCAGCCCAGCGGCAAGGACATGCACCAAAATGCTACCCAGCGTCTGCCCATGTGTCACGGCGTCAGGATGGCTCTTTAGACACTTCTGTGATGAGCGTGTTGTACTCTTAAAATCAGAACATGGGAATGAATCGGGGAAATGGTAATTGTGAAGATAGAGACCTGGGAAACTGTTGCGGACACAAGTGAGCAAAGCTGAATTTAGACAGACTCTCAGATTGCTGCCATGTAAAACAGAAATTTTGCTGGGGATATCGCGAGAATGGAAAAATGTGTGTGGGGGGGGGGATCAGGTCGGCTCCAAGTGATTTCTCTTTTAAAGTGGTTTCCGTCAACGGTTCCGAGCTTGCACTGCAGATACATTACACATATCCACATAAATATATTTACTAACAGAACCTCAAGTACAGCCAGTCCCCCACCTATGAGCCTTAGAACCGTGAATCTTCAAAGATGCAAATGCACATTCGCATGTCAAGTCACATCAGTTAGTTCGCATGTCTGATGCTATCTGTGAAGTTGGGTATGTAGACGAACTCAGTTGGGCTTACGAACAAAGCAGAGTTACGAATGATCCCCTCTCAGAAGGGGACCCGTTTGTGTGTAAGTCCTTCTTGTACTTTGTAGGGCTAGAAACGTCGCGTCCATGTGAGTGTTTTAGCAATCCACCGAAGGGGCGGGGAGGCACATAAATGAGTCCTGGCTGCACTTCCTAACTGAAGCCGCCCCTTTCTCTGCCCACACAGGTTGTCTCCTAAGAGCCCCTGGAGATCCCCGCCCTCCCCTGGATTTCTGGGCCTGCGACGTGGTCAGTGAGACCAGGGTGCTTCGGTGGCTGTGGGCCAGCCCTGCCCGTTGCTGGACTTGTATGTGCCGCTCGGACTCTGGGCTCTTTGGAGCTCTCGTTTACGTGGAAGTTTTGAGCCATTTTGAATCTTTTGAAGGAGAAGCCGCTGCTCGCAATGAGCTCGCAAAGCCATCCAGGTAAGCTGGACCCTGGGTCCTCGTGGCGGTTGGGTCCTGGGTCTCTCTCTGTGTTCATGATCACCAGAGCAGCTGGCTTAGGTCGGCCCCGAGGGCAGGGCAGCCGGCTCTCCATCTCAGCGGCAGAAAGACGAGCGGGGCCTCTCGGGGGTTGGGTCCAGGCTTGGCCCTGACCTGCGCGCCAACTTGAGCAGTGTGCGAGGCAATGGGCACAGGGCCATGCGTGGTCTGGAGAGTGCTTCCTTTTCCCGCTGCTTTGATTCTGAGGGCCATGGGGGTGGGCTGCCTCTGGGCCGAGCTGGACACGATCGATGCCCCTCGGTGGTGGGCACCCGCAAGCATCACTCCTGGTGCCCAGGGCTTCACCAGGCATGGCGCTCACATCCTGCCCACAGCGAGTCTTCACAGGCCCCGGACGTCCCCCACCTGGCGGGAAGAGGTGACCGGTCCGGGGCCACAGAGCTCGTGGCCGGGTGGGATCGGGGAGCATGTTTGTGTTGCTCTCGGGTTCGGAAGGGTGCGGGGACACACGTGCTCAGGCTTCTCCAGCCCTGTCACCGAGTCACCCAGCCGCTCCGTGGCAGTGAGCCCTGGCTCGTCCGGCCTCACTGTCCGCTGCAGCGTGGCCTCTGGGCCATTTACATCTGTTGTCCTGCGTCCACTCGGGCAGGCGCGGGGTGTCCTGGAGGCCCTGCCTCCGTCTGTGTGGCTGGGGTCCCCGCTTGGTGAGAGTGGGGGGCTTGGTCTGCACTCTTCCCTGGGATTCAGCCCCCAGCACGTCCTCTCCTGGCCTGAACAGAGCTTTCTGAAGCTCCAAGAGCAGAGTTCCTGCTTGTATTTAGATACGAAGGCTTTATTGGTTTAGATTGTTCATGTATTGACTGATTCGGAGTGTAAAATGTAATTTAACAGTCTGGCTCGAAGTGGGTGAACGTGGACTATTTTCCACTCAGAGCTGGGGAGCCTGCCTTTCTCCTGTGTCTGAACATACAGGGTGTGTGTAGAAATGTTTTAATCATTCTATCTGTGGAGTTCTGTGTTTCATTTTTTTTTTTTCCATTTAGTACCTTATGTTCATCTTTTGATGTCAGCATGGACATACACCTAACTTGTTTTTGGTAGCTTATAGGTAGATACTTATGTGGCTGCAGCAGTATTTAGAACAGCCCCACATCATCATCAGACAGTTATTATTCATATATTTTGTACACACGCTTCTGTGACTATCTCCATTAGGTCAGTTCCCAGCAGTAGAATTGCCCGGTGGGTGGGCACCTGCATTGGAAACTTTGTTTCCTTTACACGTGGCTCCAGAAGCTGTCTCAATTTTTCCCCTTAATCCTAATTTATGAGCATATGTGTTTTTCTTCATTTGCAGAAGCACTAGCTGGATTCAGTTTGTCTCATTCTTGTCGGCATGCCAGGGGAAATTTATTGTTTGAATTTGCATTACTGAATAAATGAGGGTGCACATTTTTTAAAGTTTTATATTGGAGTGTAGTTGATTTACAATGTTGTGTTAATTTGTGGTGTACAATGTGATTTAGTTTTATATGTGTGTGTGTGTGTGTGTGTGTGTGTGTGTGGACATATATACACATATATCTATTATTTTTCAGACTTTTTTCCCACTTCGGCTAATACACAATATTTAGTACATTTCCCTGTGCTGTACAGAAGGACCGTGTTGTCGATTTTATGTATAGTAGTGTGTGTCTGTTAATCCCAGACTCTGTAATTTATCTCACCTTTTTCCCCTTAGTTAACCTTAGGTTTGTTTTCTAAGTTTGTGAGTGTGCTTCTTTGTAAATAAGTTCGTATGATGTTTGTTTTTCTCTGTCTGAACTTCATTTAGTGTGACAGTCTTTAGGTCCATCCATGTCGCTGCAAATGGCGTTATTTCATTCTTCTTAGTGGCTGAGTAATATTCCATTGGATGTATGTACCACGTCTTCTTTATGCACTCCCCTGTTGACGGGCATTTAGGCTGCTCCCAGGTCCTGGCTACTGTGAGTAGTGCTACCCTGAACACTGGGGTGCTTGTATCTTTTCAAATTATGATTTTCTCTAGATGTATGTGCAGGAGTGGGACTGCTGTGTCATAGAGCAGCTCTGTCAGTATTTTTAGTTTTTAAGGAACCTCTATACTGTTCTCCATAGTGACTGCACGAATTTACATTCCCACCAACAGTGTGTAGGAGGGTTCCCTTTTCTTCACACCCTCTCCAGCATTTATTGTTTGTAGACTTTTTGATGATGGCTATTCTGACCAGTGTGAGGTGATACCAGGTTTTTTATGAGTTGCTATAGACGTTAATTTTCTTCCTTGCCGTTGGGCTTTTGAGGGGAAAAATTGTTTTTTTTTTTCCCTTTTTTTTTTCTCGCTCTTTTTGTAATCTAAAGAAGTCTGTGTGTATGCATCAATACTGTATGTGAAGTTTTCTTATGCATGTGCATTATGTACAGTTGACCCTGGGCCAGCCTGGGAGTCAGGGGTGCCAAGCCTCTGCACAGTGGAAAATCCATGTGTGGGTTATAGTTGGCTCCCCGCATCGGAAGTTGGCTGCTCTGCATTTGTGATTCCAAGCCTGTGGATTCAGCCAGTCACGGACGGTGTGGTGCTGTGCGTGGAACTGACCATAAAAATGCTGCTGTGAGCAGATTGTGTGGTGGTTCAATCCCATGCTGTTCAAAGGTCAAGTATATTTATATATACGAGTGTACGTATGCATTTTTCTTTATGTGTTATCTATACATAATAACTTCAGTTACTTAAATCGGTGGTTATATTACTACATCAGCGTAGCTTTATCTTCTTTGTCTCTGATTTCTAGAGAAACGTGTACTTTCTCTTATGCTGATAGTTTGTGTATTCTTTCCACAATGAGACATCTGGGGCTGTGGTCTTCGGTGCTTGAAAACTAACGAGTGTGTCTTGGTGGCCCCGTCTTGTAACAAAATACAGTGTGTTTCTCTCGTTTCGTGCCTCTTTGCCCCAGAGTTATCAGTCTCCTTAAAGTGTTTCTGCCCTTGGGTTCTCTTGGCTGACGAACGATTCTCCACCCACTTATATCTAGTACTCTTGCCTGGAAAATCCCATGGATGGAGGAGCCTGGTGGGCTGCAGTCCATGGGGTCGCTAAGAGTCAGACAGGACTGAGCAACTTCACTTTCACTTTTCACTTTCATGCACTGGAGAAGGAAATGGCGACCCACTCCAGTGTTCTTGCCTGGAGAACCCCAGGGATGGGGGAGCCTGGTGGGCTGCAGTCCATGGGGTCGCACAGAGTCAGACACGACTGAAGCGACTTGGCAGCAGCAGTATCTCCCCGTCGCAGACCTCCTTGAGGCTGGTCCCCGTGAGCAGCGGAGATCTGGCTGGGTGTTGCCTTCGCCTCCTTTCCGGAGTCCTCGTGTCTCGCACAGAGGCCTCGCCCGTGGCTGTTGGCTGCGGCAGGGTCCTGCGTGTTGCGCATGTCCCTCTCGGCGGATGGGGCTGGCGAGGCCGGGGTGCCTCGCGGCCTGGCCCCCTTCCTCCTCTCTGCCTGACACCCCCTCCTCCCAGGGCAGTCCTGGAGCGGCCTGGGTAGCTGATGCCCGGCAGTAGCACCTGCCGATGCGAGGGTGGGCTTGCTGGCGGGTCTCTCCTGGCTCCTCTGCAATCCACACCCCCCATCCCAGCCCTGGGGGGGTGAAGGCTGGGGCTTGGGCTGAGCCATGGTCGGCACGGCCCCCCCACAGTCCACAAGCCCGTGGCCTGCTGCGGTGACCGCCTGCTCGCTCTTGGTGGTCCCCCATCATTTGGATCCCCCAGACGGACGTCTTCCAGGAAGTCCCTCCCTGCCCCTTGTCAGCTGATGCCACGTGTTCCCACCGTGTAGACTCACTGCCAGTCTTTCGTGTCAGTGTTTGTGTTTTGTCGTTTTAGTGGATTTGTGGGAGGAGGAGAAGAGTTAACACCAAACGTGTTCCATTTGCTGTTCGGAGCAGGGCCCTGCCCGGGGTTCCCCGTCCCATCTTCAGCCCCACCGTCCCTTCAGTCCCATGTCCGTCTCAGCCTCCCTGGGCCGTGCGATGTCCTCTGTCTGGCCGCCCGCCGGCCCTGCCACATCACTGGCTATCCCCCGTCCCTCCCAGCCGCCGCCCCGCCAGCCCATGTATGGGTCTCGGGCGCCGCGGGGCCCCCATCACGCCTGTGGAGCTGACCGGCTTGGCCCCGGTGGTGAAACGAGCTTTTCACTTGGAGAGTGGAGATCTTCTCCCCCGGCCCCCCGCGCTGAGCCCCTCTGGTGCTGGGTGAGGCGCGCATTATGGTTTTATTGCCGTTCCTTCTGCACTTTGCCAGAGCCTGGCCCTGGCGCTCTGACGTAAAACTGCTGACTGGTGGGGCTTTTATGGCTCTGAGTAACGATTGCGAGAGCTGTGAGTGGCCCGAGGAGGCGGCCTGGCCCGACTCAGGCTGAGAGAACGCTCCTTTGAGAGCAGGAGTGAGGAGAGGTGCTGAGATGCGATGCCTCTCCCGCCCCAGCGCTGCACGCCTTCCTGCGGGGATGTGCGGGGCCTCCACGTGGAAGGCGAGTCCTTCTCCCACACTGAGGGCCCGGGGGTCTGCTGGCGGGCACAGGCTCCCCTTCTTCCCTGCCTTCGTGTTCCTCAGATGACAGGCTGTGTCCTGCCCGTAGCCCGAGTGTGCTGGGATGTGGGGCCTGGGTTGGCTCAGATCGGGACCAGAGGCTGTCCCTCGGTCACGCTGTTACGACCCCCACCCACCCCGAGCAGTTCAGCTTTCTCGCAGTGAAGCTTCTGCCCAGAAGGCGTCTGGAGGAGCCTGCTCTGCCGTCTCCTGGACCGTGTGTGGGCATCTGAACCCCACTCTTGACAGGAAGCTGGCTGAGCAGGACTGGGATCCAGTCACTCAAGTGTCCCGACTCTCCTGGGAGCTTGGCGAGAGGCTGCGTAGTGTTAAAACACAAGATGAGCCATTTTGAGGGAAATCTGTAT